GTGTCAGCCCAGCGGGGGAGGGGGAACTATCAAGTCAAGTTATCGATTTAAAATGAAATCGATGGAAATCGTGCATAAATGATCGCCGATATATAACTGATAAAGAAATAGTTATATCAGTAGCATTTTTTATTTTATTTACTCATATACAGCGCATCTTCACGCTTGGCGATTTTCCAAAATGGGTGGCTGTTTTTAATAGCTCCTTTCATTTCTTTCATTTTCAAATTATTCGCATTCTTAGATTCTATAATTTTTAGTTTCTCCTCTATGCAGAGATTGTAATTTCTACCTGTTGCTCTTTACGTTTGCATGACATACTATTTTTTATGACACTATTCGGTAACGCAAACAGCCACCCATTTAAAAAAAAAAAATTGTTAAGCAATCTGTTTGCAGAGATTTCTTTTTGCCAGGCATACTGCTGCCGTATGCGATAGGCAACAATAAATTACAGAAGAACTTAAATTTGATCGCTGCATTTAAGTATTACATTAAATATCTCTTTTAAAAAGAATTTAAAATAGTTACTAACGTGAGAAAAGGAACATATAAATTTATACATACGCCCTATATAATTTTGAAAAAATATTATTAATCATGCCAAAGTAATTACTTATACAGACCCATTATTTTGTTCCACATAATGTTGAAACACCGATTCCCATACACTCACCGAAGTTAAGCTACGTTGACCCTGGTCAGTACCTAGATGGGTGACCGTTTGGGAATAGCGGATACTGAAAGTTTGTATGTGCAGCTGGTATAAAGTGCTTACAGCCATATCATGTTGAAACATCGGTTCCCGTAAATTCACCGAAGTTAAGCACCGTCAGGACTGGTCAGTCCCAGATGGGTGACCGCTTGGGAATATTAGGTGCTGAAAGCTTGGATGTGCGGGTGGAGTAATGGATCAGGGCTCAAAATAGGAGAACCGAGTTCTAATTCCAGTTGGGTTCATTATAGTCATTTCCGCTCAAATAACTTTGGAAAAATTATGAATCTAGGTCTTTCTCTTCCGCTATGGGTTAATTAGTAAGAGTTGTATCATTAAACAATTATTATTGTATACTAGACTTCCTATCGGGTGGCATTTAAGCTAGCTTCTTATCTATTTCTCTGAAATGAGGTATTATGATAACAGTCCGAATAATTTAAATAACACAAGTTATCTTCTATTGAATCCCGTTTGGAGAAATTATATATATAATATATATATATATATATATATATATATATATATATGTGTCCAATGACCGCTTATGCACTGACATGTTAGACGCACCCCATTTCAACAAGGTATGATAGTGAATGTTGGACAACCTCCTCAAAGATGAAGAAGATACTTCATCTTTAAGGAGATTCTCCAAGAAACTTGAAGCAACAGAAATATGGTTCTACAGGAGGATACTGAGGATACCATGGACTGAATACAATATATTACAGTAACTTATATTATTTACATTAATCGGACTGTTGTCATCATCTTCATTGCCATATTCACAACGTTTCGACCGTTGAACGCTCCGGCCTTTTTCAGCCGATTGGAATTTCGATTAGAACCCTTTATTTCGTCCACCGGGGAAGATTTTTCTAGTTCCACGTACCATGCCTCTTCCGGATGTCTCAGCTATTTCCCTTTCACTCAACTCACCATTTTTTTTTTGTTTGTTTCACTACTGCTGTGACCTGGTATTGAACTCACAACTCCTTGGGTCTAGTCATTGGATACATGGCCCAGTGGATAAAGACGTAGGCTAGATCCAGTGAATAGACCCAAAGAGTTGTGAGTTCAATACCAGGCCACAGCAGTGATGAAAAAAAAAAGTTGACTTAAAGGGGAAATAACTGAGACATTCGGAAGAGGCATGGCACGTGAAACTAGAACAATCAACCCCGGGTTCGGTCCGAAATTCCAATCCCCTGAAGAAGACCGGGGCGTACAACGGCCGAAACGTTGTGAATACGGCATTGGGGGTGAGGATAATAGTCCGAATAATGTGAATAAATTATTGCATTAGCACAAAATTCTCTCGTAGATACCAGACTTCAAGTGGGACTCGTACTTACGATCCATCGCGAAAGATGATAGAAAAATCGTCGGTTCTTACTTCTGCTATCCTCCGCCCTTACAAGAGCCAGATCGGGGACTAGAATGAAATACCGTTGCCATATTTCAATAGGAGCTGTTCACTCCTTACTTTTCTATTCTCCAAAAGTGTCTCCTAGCTCTTGCGGGTGGCAAATTTTTCCAACCTTCAACCCCTCTCTCACAAAAGTGATTTAGCAAGCTATTCTACCACTATTCTATCGATACTTCCATGGAAAGTGCTCGGACAAACTGTATTATTTGGTTCTGTCAATTCTAAGCTTCACGGCTATGAAGCACCAGACCACTCACATATTAGCAAACCACCCACATCCCTTTCGTATTCCATTATTGAGAAGTAAGTTCCACTCGAACAGCTTCTTCCTGCGAACCACTGCTCTGTAGAATCGACTCCCGAGAGGTTACTTCCCTGATCACTACAATCTTAATCTGTTCAAGTCTACACTTAACCATAATTTTCCCCTCCTATCCGCATAAACTGTCACTTACTCTGTAACCCTCTACCTCGAGTGGCCCCGGGCCTTTTACAGGGTAAACCTCACTGGGAAAAAAGTTTTTTAATGTCGAAACCTAGTTAAGTTCGTGCCCATATTATTCAGTATTGATTGATTTTTTTACGGTTTATCAACTTTTTGCGTTAAGCCAGAAAATATTTTTTATTGTAAGAATCTCTTGGAGATAATTAGGGTTTATTGACGTAAGTTCTACTAATTAACCCATAGCTGGTGGGAGAAAAGGTGGATTCATACCTTTCCCAAGGGTATTTGCGCGTAAGGGAATATAATGAACTCGACTGGAATTGGTACTTGGTTCTACGATTTTGAAATCCGTGCCGTTTATTGATCAGTCTTCACAAATAATTAAAATACAACTATCAGCAGAAGATAAATATAAGTAGGTAATAGCCAAAACACGATATAGCACTCCCTGTAAATGAGACAACATACTTGAACCTATTATTAGATACGTTGTAGCATGCCTACGGACGATGAGTAGATCCCCATTAACATAAATACTGTATGTTGGTCTGCAGTTGGAGATTCGTCTCCAGTTGTGCTGGTCAAACTATCTGCTTCCGGATAGAGAGGATCCCCAGACGGGACTGTGTCGTATTGCGGAGTCTAGTCTCGGGAAACACCTACCCGACTCCGTTTTATACGGGATCTATGGGGAATTTTTGGCCGAGCCTACGGGCTCGGATACCCAACATTAAATTCGGCCTTGTGCCACATCTGACCGCGTAGGGCGGTTGGTAGACATCGTTCAGTTGGAGATTCGTCTCCAGCTGTGCTGGTCAAATTCTCTGCCTCCGGACAGAGAGGATCCCCAGACGAGGCTATATCAAAAGGCAGAGTCTCGTCTCGAGAAACATCTACCCAACTCCGTTTTATACGGGATCTACGGGGAATTTTTGGGCCGAGCTTACGGGCTCGGATACCCCACATTAAATTCGGCCTTCTGCCACATCTGACCGGGTGGGGAGGATGGTAGATATCCTGCAGTTAGAGGTTCATTGTGGAATTCACTTGACTCACTTCTAGCAGTTGACTACTACTTCTACGCGCCGCTGGCGAATCTTATATGTGTTGTTCTTGTCCTAAGTATTATCGTTCATTACCAACCTCCGTTTGATTAGTCTATTCTTAGGTTACAACAATATAAAAGAAACAATTTACATTAAATTTCATTGCTCATAGGAGACAGTATTTTGAAGTGTGTATAAAATATTTAATATGCGTAAAAACAGCGACAAGTGCAATTATTCGATACATGCTTTTTGTTGTAACCATTACACATCACATCTTTTGGGATTGGTTTAAATTCCAGCGCTTTTAAAAACGCCTGGATATAGCCAACCAAATCTTGTCTATCACACAGACAGCACATGGTTCTTCCTAATGACTGAGTGGGTCGAAATTACTCGAACAGAAAAGAAAGAACACATGAATTTTAGATTGTTCGCATTTTTTTTTTATTTCGATGTACAATGCGTTACTTGAAAAATTTAAAATAAATTGGAAATTAATCAGTCTTCCCAAGTGAGAAATGGTTAGAGGAAAAAGATTATTCAGGCCGTCAGTAATGATGTCAACATTCATAATCTGGCTTCCGTCATGAAAGTTCATTCAAGAACCATCACGAGAATGGTGAAGATGTTTAAAAAGAGGAAAACTGGATTATTTCCAACTAAATTCATAAGACGTTTGGCACGTGAGAGTGGAGTTTCACATATGTCAGTCCAAAGAGCAGTGAACCTCTACCCCGGGGGACGGAATAAAGGGTTCAATTCATCCGGATGTTTCAGTTATCTCCCTTAAACTCCAAGTTTTTGTTTACAACTGGTCGCCAGATATTTGAACTCACAATTTAATTGGATCAGTTGATCCAACCAACGCTTTTATCCACTGTGTCCTTGAGGACATTAGTGTATGAATTTTTGGAACTTATCCACTTAATGTCTCAGTAACTATTTTTTTTTTTACTATAGCTCATATTGCAATTTTTATTTTTATTGTTGCTTTTCTCTAGCACTCCGTACAACTGATTCCCATATTGGACTCATTTCTATGCTTGGTCGGCTTAGGATATTTTTGTGGTCCATCATATGTGCTGATTCCTTAAGTTTTCGCATTTTCCAGTGATGTTCTCTGTATATTATTTCAGCCTCATCCCACAGGGGGCGGGGATCCCCATTTTCCCTCCATGTGGTCAGCTACCCCTAATTTCTCTATTTCCTCTCGTGTTACGGCTTTACGATGTTCAGGGGAGGCTTGTTTCTCCTTTATCTTTCTTACCACAGCTGCATAGGATAGCGTACACACAGTTCTCAGTCATGTTCTCCTCTATGGGGGAGGGTCTTAGACAGAAGAGCTGTCTGCGAATTGTCGAACTACTTCTGAAGGTCGTCCTGTTATATATGTAGGCAGACTGAATCTGTTTTTTGAGTGCTGTTATCCTCTTTTACCATTCTATCCCGGTTTGTCGGAGCTACTGCCATGTATCCAAGGTAATTGTTATGTTGTACTGCTTATACTGACCATCTTTTAATCATATGTCTTACGACTTTTGCTCGATGTTGTGAGCAGCGGAATATCCCTTTTTTTTACACTATATAAGTGGTGGGTGTTAAAGTTTAGGTATTGGCCAGTGAATGCTGGCTTGCGGTATGCGGATGTCTTGAACGCATGCTCTGTTCGAGATATTAGTACACCCAGGAAGGGGGGTTTGTTGTTTTCTTTCCCCATTGTGAACTTTATCGATGATCTTATTGAATTCACATGGTCCAGTAGTGGCTGGAACTCTTCTTGGTGTGCCCAGAGTATGAAGGTGTCATCTACGTTTATCAGCCATAGGGTTGGCTTTAGTGATATGGATACTAATGCCATTTCTTCGAAGTATTCCATGTATATGTTTGCCATTGATGGTGATAATGGCGAGCCCATTACTAAGCCTTGATCCTGCCGATATGTCTGATCCTATTTCGAAGTATGTTGCTTGCGTATAGAAAGTCAGCATCTCCATGAGGTTATTTATATTGGTCCGTTTTTTTAGGGATGAGTCTGAGGCTAGTCTGTCTCTGACTACCGATAGTGCCTCCTCCATGTGTACCTTGGTGAACAAATTCACCACCTCTGATTGGATGGGAGCATCTTTGATTATTTCCATGAAGTGGGCGGAGTTTCGGACATATGATGGTTACTTTCCTATTAATGCGTCAATTTTATCTACAAGGAAGCGACTTAGAGGGTGGCACACAGTTTTGACAGCTAACAATCA